TAAGTGACCTGCCCAAGGTCACACCGCTTGTCAGCAGCAGAGCCCAGAATTAAGAAAAACATTCGACATGTAGCGGGTGCTGGGAAATCTGTGCACACCAGCAGTCAGCACACTGTAGCCGGGGCCACATGCCTCCAACAGTTTTCCGGGCACACAGCCAAACCCACCTGCCAGCGGTTGTTTCTGGTACCCGGACAGGGGCAGAACTGAGGGGATGTTGTAGCGATCGCATGACTCACGAAACCTAAGATATCTGGCCCTTTTCAGAAAAAGGCATGCCTTCTCTAGACAAACAACATCTCAGATTTCAATTTCATAATTTAATCTGTACTGTACACACGCGTTTAAAAAACCCTTAAACATAAAAAGGTCAGCAGAGAAAGCTCCCTCTATCTTTGTCCCCTTGGGCTGGTCCCCCATCCCACAGAGAGCCCTTGTGATTATTTTCATTCATCTGTCCAGAAGTGGTTTTAGCACATATAAAAGCAAATGTTCTTCCCCACCCCCCACCTTTTTAACACTGTCTGCCAGGCCACGGGACCCCAGGGCTTGGTGCCCTCAGTTTCTTTTATTTCTCAGGCCAGGGGCTCCTCTAGTGCTGACCTGGGGGTGCTCTCACCCACAGAGAAGCCCCTCCCCCCTTGCGTTCTTATTCCACCCACCCCATCTCTTAAAAAAAAACAACATTCCGAGCACACACAAGGAAGAGAGAAGAATCAATGAAACATACAGCGGGCCCTCAGGTCCCCATCCTCCAGCTCCCTCACTCAGTGCCCTTCTGTTCTCCTTCCCTTTTCCTCCCTTTTTGTTGTTTATTCTTCACTGGGGTTCGATTTGCACCGCATGAAATTAAGCCCCCTTTTTAGTACATTCAGATCATTGTGCACCATCACCTCTCTCTAGTTCCAGGACATTTCCATCACTCCAAAAGGAGGACCTGTCCTCACTAGCGGTCACTCCTCCCTGCCCCCCGACTGATCTGTGTTTCCATGGGTTTGCCTGTCCTGGACATTTCTTAGCAATGGAATTACATGCTACTCAACCTTTCGTGTCTGGCTTCTTTCGTTCGGCATAATACTTTCGAGGTTCATCCATCTGGTAGCACATACCAGGACTTGGTTTCTTTCTATGACTATATAATATTCCATTGTATGGACTGGCCACATTTTATTTATCCACTTATCTGTCTATGGATATTTTGGTTGTTTCCCGGAACATCATATTGCCTCACCCATAAAAACTACAATATGCATCTCTCTAACAGATAAGGACTTAAAAAACCACAATCAAAATATTACCAACAGTCCTTACAAAATTAACGCAAATTCCTTAAGATCCCCTAGTACCCAGTCCAAGTTCGATTCTCCTTGTTTAAACAATGCCAGTTTCTTAGACTTATTCTGGTGATCATTTGGCAGTATATACAAATGTTGAATCATTATGTCATACACCTGAAACTAATATAATGTTATATGTCAATTACCCTTAATAAAAAGCAAACAGATAATGCTGCTTTCCTCAGTGAGATAGATCCCCCCACTTTGTCTCCATTCTGGGAAGAGTACGGGGCCTCCGTGCTCTAGATGCTGCTTGGGAGGCCTGTCTTTCGAAGGGGGCCCCCATGAAAAGAGACACGGGTCACCCCAGTTTGTGGATCCTGCACCTACACAAGCGGCAAACAGACCAACGAACTTGCAACCAATTGCCTTTTTTCATCGATGACTCAATTTCCCTTTTCCCAACCTTTCTGTTCAAATACTACAACCCCTTTGCCTGAAGGAAGGAGGTTGGGGTGAGGGGACCTGTTTTGAGAATGGATAGAAACATTCAGAAAGGGGTTGGCAGCTGTCCTCTAATGATGGTTTTTTTTGTTAGGGCATCAATAACTTAGGTTTCCATCTGGTGGAGGGGGCTGGTTAAATGACAAGCATGACTGATCCCACTCCACCAGGCCGGTTACACATGCCGCCCCCCCTGCAGACCCCCAAGGTGGAGGAGGGAGAGCCCAGGTGTTACCACTTTCCCCCTGTTCCTTAGGAGAAGCCGGTCCGGAAGGAGGTGGGCTGGGGAATAACAACAGCATCTTCCAGAGAGCAGAGTGCTGCCCGTGCTGGGCAGTCGCGGGGCAGTGTAAGGGGCACAGAGAAGAGAGGGAGAAATTGATTTCTTTCCACCCCTCACCCCTCTCCCCGCCCCACCAGCAGCGGAGGCTCATGCCCTTGGCTTGATGGACCTCCCCAAGGTGGATCCCTGTGTAGCACGTCGCTGGAAGTGATCAGGAGCTTTTGAGCCGCTTTTCCTGCCCTCCCTCCTGCCAGCATCAGGGAAACCTCCTCCTCTTTCCCCCCTTGGCAGCTGGCACAGCAGCCCCGATCCGTGCCTGCCTTTGTGGGGAGACTTCAGCTCCATACAGGGCTTCTTCTGGCATTCCCCCCTCTCTCTCCTCTCTCGGGGCCCCTTTCTCCATTGCATTGGGCCGGCCATGGGTGCGTGGCCTTCAGCCGGCTTGGCCCCCGGGGTGCTGACGAGGTGGGACCCGCGGGACACCTGGAGGATCTGTTGCGCTGCGCACTAGCCACGCCGGGGGAGCCCCAGAGCCCATGCGACACAGGTGAGTGAGCGGGGCTTCCAGAGGTGGGATGCCGGGCACGGGGTCCTGCCCAGGGTTCGATCTTCATGTTCCCGCTGTAACATTAGCTCCGGGAGCCGAGGTGGGAACGTGTGGTCTCCGCGTATGCTCACTACGAATAGCTTTCCTGTGGGAATGGGCAGTTTATTTCCAGATTTTACTTGTTTCTGTCTCTAAAAACCGCTTCCTCTTTCTGGACAGTTTCTCTTGGCTGCGGGGCGGGGACGAGGGTGGTGTGGGGAGACAGAGCCCCGACTTCCAGCATAGACTTCTTTCCTTCTTAAAATGACATTTTCTTTCAACTGCCCTCAGCCCCTTTGTACACTCGGTGCCTAAGCCACCTGCTCTGGACAGGGGACCTTTCCCCCGTGATTACAGCGTCTGCCCTGGCTCAGATTCTACTTTTTTACGTCCTCCCGACCCCTGCACTCGAGTCTACAGCCTCCTCTTCCGACTCTGAGACCCAGGTAGACTGCACAGGTGACGGGGCTGGGAAGCGTGCATCCCCTCCCCCAGCGCCTCCGGCTCCGGGGTCCCACGACGCGGAAGTTCCCGAAGCCCCGTGGCGGGGCCTTGTTTTCTGTGCTCAATGCAGCGTGAATGCGTTGGAACAAGGGAGATGGCAGATGGGGTTTAGGCTGTTGAGAAGAATGACATCGTCTTAGGAAACCGCTTGCTCCGTTTAATATTTAATATTCTCCCCTCCCTGTGCCCCATGCAAAGCAGGGGCAGCGCTGGACACACAGACCACCCCTCCCTTGCTTTTATTTTGCACAGAGCCCACTCTCTCCGGGTGGCTTTTGTTTCTCAAGAGTGAGAAAGACTGGCGGCAGGATCCCTCTCCTCCTCCCTCGGGCTGTGCTGCTGACAGCTTCCCAGGACGCGTGCTGTGGGGACCCCGGGGCGCAGGAGGAAGGCACGTGGCCTGGGCTCCCCTGCCCCTCTGCAGGGGCCCTGCTTTGGGGGGTCCTGAGAGACTGATCCTGGAGAAGGAGCTAGACTAGAACGTATACTGGAGCACCGCGCACCTTCTCGGCGGTGCTACCTCATGTGGCTCAACCCACAAGAGTGGGGCTGATACCTGCGCCCCTCCTTGCACCCAAACAAAGGTGCGCTGGGGTGGGGGGGTCTCCACCAGGTCTTTAGATGGGTCCCAGTTCTCTGTTCGAAGTCCACAACTTCAGGGCCACCTTGCCATTTTCAACACAGACTCTTTCCCGGACAGTCTTAGATCCCTTTTGGGGGAAGGGTGAGGTGCCTGTGGCTGACGCTGGCCCTTCACTCCCCACACAGGCCCCTAGGCCCCCCGGAACACCTGGAGCCCAGGCTGCAGGATGGCTCCCAGTTCCAGCCCTCTGAGAGCTGAGTTTATTCCCCTGGATGTTCCTTTTCCCTTCACCATGTAGGTGTTTGCAGAGATGCATAGAGATGTCACTCCAGGGTCAAGTGCCAACTCCTCTCCAGTTGGGATAGCTTTAATTCAGTGCTGCCCCACCCACTAAGTAGGCAGGAAGATCAGGACCAGGTTCCTGAGGCAAAGGGTGGATTTGACATTGAACAAATTACTGAGCAAATGACCCACAGAGTAATGCCACATGCAGCTCTGGGACATCAAATGCTTGGCACCGGTCTTACTTATTAATCTTTTAATTCTTTTCAAAATGTTAGCGTACAGGCCCAGAGGCCCCTTAGTGGCAGAGGGCAAGTGAGGGAGATTCTATTCTAGGATGTCTCAACCCCGCTGTCTTCACAGTGACAGACAGGCAAGGGCCCTTGGCCTATCCGAGCCCCTCTGGCAAGGCCAAGCCTGGCTGATGGAGGAGGCAGGACTGACTGAGCCAAGTGAGAGGGCCAGCTCCTCCCAGCCCCCAGAGCCCCCAGAGCCCCCTGAACCCCTGCCTCCCATCCAGGTGCAGATCTGGGACCCGCTGGGCCCTCTGGGATGCAGGGTTAGGCACCATGCAGCTCTGCTGAGTTGTTGATAGAATCTGCATCTGAAATTGATCCCGGGTGAGCCCTGGGCCGGCCAGAGTCCGGGAGGCCCTGGGGCTGTCACTGGGCCCCAGGGTTCCTGGCTGGCGGTGGCACCTGTGTGGTGGAGTTCCTGGGAGGTCTGCCCCGTGGTGCTGGGTGCATCGAAGGTGTTTACTAAATCTTGGCCACTTTTTTGTTAAATAAGCAAAGTGGTTTTTTTTTTTTTTAAGTGAAGGTTACATATTTATTGCGATAATTTTAAATGTATGAAGATCCATAGTGATGGATGATTTCTGACATTATTTCACATTGGGGTAATAAGACTTACAGTTTTCAGAATCCTGGCCAGTGGCAAATAACCGATTAGTAAAGTAGGATTTAATATCCCATGCCTCTTAAAAATACGGAACGCGTCACGAATTCGCGTGACGTCCTTGCACAGGGGCTGTGCTGATCTTCTCTGTATTGTTCCAATTTTAGTATATGTGCTGCTGAAGCGAGCAGGCGAAGTTTTCTTTTTAAATTCATTTTCGTTTGTTTCTTTGAAAAAGATGAAAACAAGCATTGTTTTAAAAAGTCACTGGATACAATTACATTGAATGTTAAAAGAAAGAAATAGGGCATTAGACTTTGCTATATTGGCTACTTTTAAATTCCTCTCTAGAGAAAGGGTGGTGTCCAATTTCTTTTCTTTTCTTTTTTTAATCCTCACCTGAGGGCATGCTTCTTGATTTTTAGAAAGAGGGGAGCCCTGGCTGGCATAGCTCAGTGGATTGAGCGCAGGCCTGTGAACCAGAGTATCGTGGTTCAATTCCCAGTCAGGGCACATGCCTGGGTTGCAGGCCAGTTCCCAGTAGGGGACACATAAGAGGCAACCATACATTGATATTTCTCTCCTACTCTTTCTTCTTCCCTTCCCCTCTCTCAAAAAATAAATAAATAAAATATTTTTAAAAAAAAAGAAAGAGGGGAGAAGGGAGGGAGAGAGATGGAGAGAGACATCAATATGAGAGAGAAATATTCATGGGGTGTCTTTTGGAGCCCTGACTGAGAACCGAACCCGGAACCTAGGCCTGTGCCCTGACCAGGAATCAAACCTGCGACCTTTTGGTTCACAGGGCGATGCTTCAACCAAATGAGTCACAATGACCTGGCTGCTTTCCTTTTTTAGTTGTAAAATACACCCGATGTAAAGTCTCCTGTTTTAATCATTTTAAAGTGAACAGTTAACAGCCCTCTGTACGTTCACAGCGTTGTGCAACCAGCACCTCTGTTTAGCTCCAGAACATTCCATCCCCAGAGCAGTCACTCCGCACCCCCCTCCCCCAGCCCCTGGCAACTGCTGATCTGCTTCTTTCCCCATGGTTTTGCCTCTTCTCCACGTTTCACACACGTGAAACCATACAATGGGTGGCCTTTGTGTCTGTCTTCTTTCACTTCTGGTTTCTTCTTTGGCTCACATTTCCTTCCTACCCTTCATCCACATGTCCCTTCCCTTATCCCTCCCTTAAACCATGCAGGTCACATATGAGTGACAGGATCCTGTTACAGATGTAGTTCAAATGTTAATGCTTAGTGACCAAGAACAGAATGTAGGGATTCTCTGTCCCCAAACACTTTTCAGGATTGGACGCCAGGGCTACTCACATTTTTCTGAAGTGGCTCCCACTTTTGGTGTCCAATAATTTCCTTCCAGCAAAAGTCACCACTAAAATTTCCTCCAGCCCCAAGGGGAGGCAGTCTCTAGGGCATCTCTCCAGAGTTTTCAGATCCCAACATGCACAATGATTGATTCCTGATGGCACACAGTTGGTGCTCAATAAATATTTGTTGCATGAACAGAGCAGTCAGCACTGATAATCACCACTGTAATGAATTAATGCCTTAACATAGTAATATATTGTACCATGCAAGCCACCAACTGGCTGAAGGGGAATACTAAGTGTGGCAGATAGTGAAACTCCCACCAGTGCTAAATACTGAGAAGTCAAAACAAGGGGGAAAAAAAATCAAAGATACAGCCTGTAGGCACAACTACTTACCCACTCCTGCTGAGAACATCTTAGAGAGCAGATGTATAGTGGTTTTGTTTAAGGGAGCAGCATTAAAGGAACACTCTACTTGGGGGAGAAGTTTAATTTTTTTTCCTGGAAGCCTGTTCTTTTTGCTTTAACCACCTTCCAGTGCTGATGGAATCAAGAAAGTTAAGACAGAGAGAGAAAAGAGAATGATAAATGGTGCCAGGCGTTGGGAACGTTGGTCTGGCTGCAATATTGCCTAGACAAGGGCAATAATTGATTTACCTTTTAACAAGCACTGTGTGTCCTTCCTGCTGGCCAGGTCCTGTGCCAGGCTGTGAGGAGTCAGCAGAGAATACAATCCTAGTGGTAGTCGCAGTCATAATAACAGCAAATGTGCATTTAGGGCTTACTGTGTGCAAGGCACTGCTCTGAGTATGTTACGTAAACTGAAGTTATTTTATGCCCACAGCAACTCTATAAAGTGCTTGCTCTTAGCATCCTCATTTTACAGATGAGGAAACTGCAGCCCGGAGAGGTGAAGTAATTTGCCCAAGGTCACCTAGTAGGAGGCAGCAAGTCTAGGATCTGAGTCCGAGCAGGCTGGCTGCAAAGCTGGGGGCATTTGTCCACCAACTCCCATCAGCTATTGGTTGAGGGATCTTCCAAGAGTATTAACTCCTCAGCAACTCTGGCTTGTCCCTTGCTCCTGTTGCCAGAATGAGCCCCACGCAGGGAGTGGCAGGTGCTGGAGGTGGGGAGCCGTGCGCACATGTGGGCAGGCCACAGGCGTAGGCACTGGCAGAATTCTCTCGGCTGCTTCACAGCAGAAGCATCTTTTATGCTGGATTTTGGGGTGGGGAGATGGACAGGCATTCAGGATGGAGGCGAAGAGGTATGGAAGTCAGGGGTGTGTTTGGAATTGGGAGTGGGGAGTCCTTTGTGGATGGCCAATGGATAATCTGACAGTTCATGGTGAATTGGAGGGAGGAGAGACTAAGGGAGGGATGAACGTGGAGGAAAGGTTACTGCCCACCTGGGTGGGGCAAAGGAGGGCCTGACCAGGGCAAGTGGGAGAAGAAGTAAAAGGTAAGATTAGCAGCCCAGACCATAAGTAGAATGTGGGGGTGAGGGAGAGAGAGAGGGAGCCCCACAATGGTCGGGAGATGAATTCCACGGCATTTTGGGTTCCTTGCAAATTTGATCAGTATAGGGCACCTGTGAATACTGTGCCAGGTCACATCTCTCCTTTGTTTAGAACCTTCCATGGCTCCCACCTCACTCAGAGCAAAGACCAAAGTCCTTCTGAGGCCCACAAGGCCCGCACCATCTGTCCCAGTCATCTCCCTGCCATTACTTCCTCTTATTTGTCCCCTTGTTTACAAAACTCCAGCCACACAGGCCTCTTGCTGCTCCTTGAACACACCAAGCACATTCCTGCTCCAGGGCCTTCGTATAGGCTGTTCCCTCTGCCTGGATGCTCTTCCCCCAAACACCTTTACTTCCTTCCTTCAGCTCTTTCACGTCTTTACTCCAGTGTTTCTTTCTCACTAGGGCTTTTTCTGGCCATTTTCTCTAAATGACAGTCCACTTCTGCTTCCCTCTTCCTCCTTCCATTTTCTTTTCTCCGTGTGACCGTCTACATATTTTAACTGTTTATCGTGTTTCTTGCTCATCTCCCCCATGAGAACATCAGCTCTGTGAGGGCAGGAACCGTTGTCCTGGTCCAAATAGTGCCTGGCACACAGGGGATGCTCCATAAATACTGCTGGATGAATGAATGAATGAATGAATGAATGAATGAATGAATGAATGAGTGTTGGGGAGGATAATGGACCCTGGAACTGAAGTTGGGAGAAAGAATTCAGCTGGAGATTCTGTAGCTTGCGTGGATCCTGCCCAGCATCCACACTGTTCTCCCCTGGGGCTACCAGGGAAAACTGTCCAACGACCTCAGTCAAGCGTTCACCCAGGTGGGAGGAAGCCTGAGTGTTTCTGAGCTGTGATTGGCCAGAAAGGGAGAAAAGAAACGAAAAGCCAGACCAGCTGTGACACAGTTTCTTCTCATCGGGGGATGGAGCTTTGCAGGCTTACTCAGGTCTCTGCCCGCACACCGGTCTCAGCCTCGTCTTCAGCCTTTGCCATCTGCCTGCCATTTTATTTAGCTCTGTTCCTGGGTATGTGGGGCAATTCTGGATTTTGCCCCAAGCGATGAAAGTTCTTGCCACCCCTGACTTTCTTTGTCATTTCACCTCACTCTTAGCTTCTCTATGCGAAGGTAGGGTGTGGGATGCATCCACACTGCCTGAGACAGAGTGGCTCTGGGTTGTGAGTCAGCATGAAAGGCCTCGTACGTATCTCTATCTACTTCTTGGTGCCCTCAGTAAGTGGGTGTCTGATGCTGTGAGGCAAGAAGGCCGAAATGCTGGGGCTACTAGTACCTTTAAGAAGAGGGGTGGATACCTCTGTATCACCTGTTGAATTTTTTCACACTTCAAAAAATTTACCCTTTTGAGCATGTTTCAGTGGCATTAAGCACATTCATATTATATTGCTACCATCCATCTCCAGAACTTGCTCATCTTCCCAAACTGAAACTCTGTGCCCGCTGAACACTAACTCTCCACCCTCAGCCCCAGCCCCTGACACCCACGTTCTACCTTCTGTCTGTAAGGGCCTGACTCTCTAGGGACCTTATATGACCGGAATCATACGTATTTGTCATTTTGTGTCCGGTTTATTTCATTTAGCATGATGTCCTGAAGGCTCACCCATGTTGTAGCATTTGTCAGAATTTCCTTTTTTTTAAGGCCCAGATAATATTCTCTTTTATGGACATGCTCGTTTTATTTGCCCATTTATCCATCAGTGGCCAATTGGGTTGTATCTCTGTTATCAGCCTATACCCCCACCAACAGTGTGCATGGTCTCTTTTCTCCATGTCCTCACCAGCACTTATAATCTCTTATCTTTTTGCGGATACTCACTGTAATAGGTATTAGGTAGTATTTCAGCGTGGTTTTGATTTGCTTTTTCCTGATGATTAGTGATATTGAATAACTTTTCATGTATCTGTTGGCCATTTGGATGTCTTCCTTGGAAAAATGTCCTCTGCCCATGGATTGGATTGTTAGTTAGGTTTTTTTTTTTTTTTTTTTTTTTTTGCCATTGAGCTATATGAGTTCTTTATATATTTTGGATACTAACCCCTTATCCAAAATATGATCTGCAAGTCTTTTCTCCCACTCTGTAGGTTGCCTTGTCGTTTCCCTGATGGTTTCCTTTGCTGTATTGAAGCATTTTATTTTGATGTCCCACTTGTTGATTTTTCCTTTATTGCTCCCTGTCATAAGCTTTTACTTCTAGGTGGAGCCTTAACACTACCACAGACCTGGTTACCTGCTCTGGAGATTGTTTGCCCTGGGCCCAGAAATCACTGTTGCTATCAGCCAAATAAAACATCATCTGGAAGATGACAGATACAGC